TGTCAGCCCTGTGTGTTGAATGCCCAGATCTGTTAGCTTATTAGAGACTGTGAAACAGCCATATTCTAATTCCATCCCCCCTTCTTCATTTCTTAGCTGTGATTTTTCTATAAAGAGAAAGTGCCGTTCATCAATTATTTGATTACAGTGAGGTATAGTTTGTACAGGAAAGTCAAAATAATAAATGCTGGATTCTCTTCCCTTCTCTGCCCCTTTTTAACAAGAAGTGGGGTTCTTTAACATTCTTCCAAGATAACCAACACACTTTTTAAAAGAACACCGTGAGGGAAGAGGTTTTGACACAATCGAGGTGTTTCCGAGCCACCGCAGTCGTTGCTCTTCTTGTTTCAATTGTACCTGCTCAGCCCCGCTTTCTGGCATGGTGAGGTGACCCAGGGTCACCTCACTGAACTTCTGCTCTGGCCCTGGAGCCTGCCTCCTCCCGGAGCCCCATTTAGAGTGGAATGGTGTTTAGAAACCCTGATTTGGTCTCCAGAGATGTTCCTGGATTCTAGGCCTTGTCAGTCAGCATAGCCAAGGAGGAAGTTTTTAAACATGAAAGACGTTAGAAATACCCACTGAAACTTCCCAATGAATCCAGACCCACAGAGCTACTCAACTGGTCTGTCTGACTTATGGCTCCTGGGCTGGGATTCCAGGGTCACCAGGGGAGCTTTTAAAACTAGCAATTCTGGAGCTGTCCCAAACCAACAGCCAGGGAACCTCCAGGGAAGACAGGCAGGCAACCCTCGCCCTCCTCTACTCCCCCCCCGCCCCCCGCCCCCCCCCACCACTCCCGCAAACACACCCTGATTCTGCTGAACAGCCGGCTTGGCGGGCTTCCCACGGCAGTGACCTAGGTGAGAATCAGGAGCAATGCCTAGGCTGCCAGTCAGTTTGTGGGCGGAGTTTTGTCAGGTGAGGAATGAATGGAGGATGAGGGGGCTGTGTTGGGAAGCACAGGCAGTGACCAGGAGGCACTGCAGAGGGAGGATCAAGACAAGGAACAAAAGCAAGAGAGAGAAGGAGCTAGGAGGCAGGTGGAAAAACAAGACACTGATAAGCTTCCGATGGCTGCAGGTGGCCAGTGTCCTTTCCCTGCTAAGTCTGGGAGGAAAGGTATCTCTTGATCTCATCTGTGTAGGGACCAAACAAAAACATACTTTTTCTCCCGACTTCTAAGTTCCTCTACCTTGGTTAGGAATCACATTAACAGAGGAAAGTCATATATTAATACCTGCACAAGGGGACTTCACATAAGCATGAAAGTTCCAAAGACAGCGAGTTGACACGGGGTATGTATGACATTTCAGACCAAGGAGAGAAGGTGGGGAGAACGGGGGTCTTAGCTTTCAGGAGAGAAAATGGCGGGGGAGGGGCATGTTGCAGGTAGTTGAGGAAGAGCAGAACACAGGTGGCAGGCACACTCTTGCTGGGCCACCCAGAAACCAGGGGACACAGCATGGGGGCAGTCACAGGCTCACCGTGGAGCCTTCTGCCTAAGGCTAAGGCTCCCTTCCTGAAACAGGTTTTTCTACCTGACTCTGTTGGGCAGGAAAGGGGGGAAGGCCAAAGGCCCTCTTTCTTTCTGAGTCTCTTTTTAATAACCAGCTTAAAAATCAATATCCCAAAAGGCACAGCTTTATTTTCCCCCGGGGGAGGGGTGACAGCACAGCTTTAGTCCCTGCAAACGTAAGGCTCAGCTCTTGCTCCGCCTTCTTCTCTTTGTTGTTAACACAGTGCCCGAGGCAGGAATGGTCACATGCTGACTGACCATGACTCACCACACAAGACACAAACGTGGAACCCGAAGAGAGATAATACAAAACACGGGTTTTCCAAGGAGGTCTCTCAGCTCACAACTATACTTATGATAATAAATGTTGGGTAGAATTTTCCAGACACTTCCCAACAGACAGAATGGAGGAGATAGGAGAATCCAGCTGCCTTCTATTAAATCCAGGCAGAGATTTGCAAAAGATGTAAAATAATGTCATTCTTCTCACTATTTTTTAAAGTATAGTATTAATTAAAATGTTATTTATGTTGCTGTGTAATGGTATTATTATTATTACTATTAAATGCATTGTTACCTATTTTTAAAATTTGGTAACTATTGGGGTCCTCAATTTTTAAGAGAATTAAGGGGCCCTCAGAACAAAAAGCTAGAGATGGGCCGGTGTCACAGGACGTCAAAGCCCATAGCCACAGTGGTCAGAGCCAGGGAACACCAACCGCGAGGACAGCGGCACTGGCCAGTTACCGCACATTTCTGGGACAAACCCCTGGCTAGTTCCATGGGCAGGACGTGGGAGCCTTTCTCACCTTTAGGGATGCGCTGAGTGACCAGGCTCCTTCTCTGCAAGGAGGCAGGGCTTTGTTTCCCCAAGTGGACCAAGGAAGGGTATGGCTGAAAATGGAGGTGATCACAGAGGCTGGGGGGGACGGGAGAGGGGAAGCCTAGGATGCAGTGACGGACAATGGGCCAGCGTGAAGAGGGTGTGGGGGGGGGGTGCTGTCCGGCAGTGAGAGCTCCCCCTCTCCTCCCTCCTCCTGCGTGGCTGCCCAAGAGCATGGGAAGGGGCTTCTTTCTTGGAGACGTGCCTCGGAAGGAGAGGAAGAAAAACCGATGCTTCCCCGCCAGGGGGCTGACACACATGATTCCCATTAAAACACCCAGAAAGAAAATCATTGTTTCCCAAATCCAGCCAGCACCACCCTCCTGAGCGAGGATCAAGAACTCTCAGACATTCGTAAAAATAGAGTCCACCAAGGGGCCGGTCATCCGGGGCTGCCGCTTCGGCGCGCACTATCTTCTGATGAGACACCTCCGCCACCTAAGGAGACTGCATCGGCTCCTCTGCGGCCAGACCCTGCCTGCCCGGGCCCCGGCCCACCTGCACTAGCCCTCTTCAAAGGAAAAGCTCACGCCTACACGAGATGGAGCCAGGGGGTTCATGAAGGACAAACCTTAATTAGACTTGATTTTTTAAAATTTCCCTTGTGGCTCTTAATTATGAGAGAGAGCAAATGTCTCTGATGTTGAACTTATCAGTCACGTAAGTCCCTATATCAACGTCCTCAATGCATTCCATGTGCTTTGTATAAGGTCACCCTCTTCTGAGAGCTGCCTAAACGGCTTTTCGAACCCCTCCAGACTGGACACTGAGGAGTATGAATAATCATTTTTTTTGTAGAGTACACTTCCTCCACAACCTTGATTTTGCAATATGAATACATGAATGTAATAGTTCTGGAATAACTATGCAGATTTATGGGGAATATCAATTTAGGTTGTATCAGGGGACCCAACTAGGCCTTTCTTGGTGTGTGGCTGGGGATTTGTTAAAGTTGGGATTTAGTTTGGGGGAGATGTGATTTACGGTTAAAGTCATCTAAAAATCAATCCAGCCGAAGCGCTCTGACACCAGGGTCCCCGGCAGAGCCAGACCTGATTCTAAAATTAAGACAGGAATAAAAATCAAATCCTGAGTAGCAGTGACTGGAAAGAGCAGTGAGGCGGGAAGCTTTGCTCCAACCTCCCCACTGTGTGAAGATGGGCTTGTTTGTTTTTGTGAAACGCCCGACATAATTCAGCTGGAAGAGAGAGAAAGGTTTCCCTACTCCTGTTTCAGTAGAAATCGATGGACTTAGCTTGCGTAATTGTCCTCCCTGCCTTTAGTACCCAAAATAAAATAACCCTTATTGCTTGAATGACCGAGCGCATCTCTGCGGACCTGGTGTCTACGGCTAAGCAAGCATTAATTAGATAATCCGCCGCCTGGAGCCGCGGGGCAGAGGGGAAGATGCAGCGGGACCGGGCGGCCCTGAAATTGGATGTTGACAGCAACTTGCTAGGTGGACTGAGGGCGTCCTGGGAGCAGGGAGCGAGCGGCTCCAGGCAGCATCGAATCCGCATCACTGAGGAGCGTGGGGCCCAGAACCCTCCCCACCCCCTACCTCCCATCCGCGGTCCAAGCCAGCTGCGGACTCCACGCCCTCCCCTAGCGGGAAACGGTGGGCGCAGGGCAAGAACCGAGGCTCCGGCAGAAGCAGGAGCGACCAAGCCCCCACCCCGCAAATGGTCCCCGGGTTTTCCACGGAGAAGTCTCCAAAGCTCTCGCGCCCTCGCCTGCTTTCCCCAGCCAGACCTTGACCCTCCCAGCCTCCACTCGGACCACTTCAAAATCCCTCAGAGGCCGAAGTGGGGACGAGGAAGGGGGAAGGGCCCGGAATGGGGGCCGGGGGTGGGGATCCGCGCGCGGGAAATGCCCCAGAAAGCGGCCAGACTCCGGTGGGCTGAAGGGCGCAAGAATGTACTTGGCGAGGGGAGGCGCAGACTCGCTGGCTCTGCGATGCTCGCGGCTCCGTGACGATTCCCTACTCTCCTCTCCGACCCCTGAGTCCCCCCCGGCAGCCCCCGCGCCTGCGGGGCGGAGGACGCGAGCGGGGCGCCCTCGCGCGCGGGCCCAGGGGTTCAGTGCAGGCCCTCGCTTCCCCTTTAAGGGTTCCCGAAACTTTCCCCCCTGGAATCAGATGAGCCTCGTCACATCCGTTGGCCGTGGCCGCCGGGGCGCGTTCCGAGGAAGTTCGGGACACGAGTTTCCCCGGGAAGAGGCGCGGCCCGAGACCTGCAAGGGTGGGCAAGGGTGGCCCGCGCGGACCCCGCGGACCCCGCGGACCCCGAGTCGCGCCGCGACCTTGGCCGCGGGGGCGGGGCCCGGCCCTTGCGGGGCAGCCGGCGCCCGCCAGAGGGGGCAGCGGCGACCAACTTGCTCAACTTGGAGGCGCGGGCTGAGGCGGCTCCGGCGCCTCCTCCTCTTTCCTGAGCCTCCTCCCTCGGCCCTCCTCCCCTCCGCCGTCGTCGCCGCCGCCGGCCCGGTGCGCGCCCAGCCCATTCCCGCAGCCCGGCGCTGAGTCGCTGAGTCGCTGAGTCGCCGAGTCGCCGGACGGGACAGGACGGACCGGGCCCGGCGCGTTCCCCGGGCCCCGCCGCCGGCATGGGCGCGCTGGCCCGGGCGCTGCTGCTGCCGCTGGTGGCCCAGTGGCTCCTGCACGCCGCCCCGGCCCTGGCGCCGGCACCCTTCACACTACCCCTCCGGGTGGCCACGGCCACTAGCCCCGGCGCTGCGCCCACTCCCGGGCCCGGGCCCCCCGCCCAACCCCGCGCCGACGGCCTGGCGTTCGCCCTGGAGCCCGCCGGGGGTGCGGCCAACTTCTTGGCCATGGTGGACAACCTGCAGGGGGACTCTGGCCGAGGCTACTACCTGGAGGTGCTGATCGGGACCCCCCCGCAGAAGGTAGGTCGGTGGGCGCTAGCCCGCCCACACGGACCGGCGCCCTGCGGGTCCCGAGGTCCCTGGGCTGCCGCCGCGGGCTTTTGGGGAGCTCGTGGGAGCGCTCAGCCGAGCCCCGGCACAGCTTAGGATGATCCCAAAGCACACTGGGGGCGGGGAGCGCAGGGGGTTCCGCTGCCAGAGCGGCGGCAGCCCTGTGGGGGTGCGGCCCAGGGGTGCACGCACGTGTTTCAGAAGTTGTCCGTCCCCACCCCTGGTGGCCGGGCAGCGAGAGGAGACCTGTAACTTCCATCTAAGGGGGATTCCTTCTGGCGGGCTGCACCTCCGTCCAGTGCGGAGACGGTGCCGTGGGCCTTGGACGCGCTGCTGCTATTCCGAGGAGATCGCTTTGTGTTACTATTTACACGGCCCCTCCCCGCCCGGGCGCGCTGCATCATGCTGAGCAGGCGGGTGGCCGCCTCCAGCGGCGCAGTGCCCTTGGAAAGGGGTTTCTGTGTGAGCCCCGCGGAAAGCTGCGGGTCCGAGGGGCGAGCCGCCTTCCCTCCGTGCGGCTTTCCTCCCCCGGAGGCGGCTGGCTGGGCCGCTGCCTCCGGCCTCCTTCAGCTGCCCAGCCGCTCTGCACAGAAGAAAGTGGCTGCACACGTGTGTGAAAAGTGTTAAACGCTGCAAAGCCGCTGGGCAAACAGACCCGCCGAGCTAGGTTTCCGGGGACCCAGTGGTCTCCCAGCGACAAAACAGAATCAAACAGCTTTCTTTTTTTTTCCCATTCTCGGGATGGTTTTCATTTATTAACACTTTTTGTAGCAAGAAATGAGTGTCCCCGGGCTCGGGAATCTTAAAACAAATAAAATCCCAGGAATCGACTTAGACGTCCTCCAACTTCCTAATTGAAGTGTGATTTGAAGTCAAGCTGTTCCTGTCAGGGGAAGACACTGTCTGAAGATACTTTATTTTTACTTTTAACATTGTCACTTGCGTTTTAATTCTGCTATGACTCCCCCATAAATAGAACAGACTCCTGACTTTGCTGTAATTCTAATTAAATTATTCAAGACTTTCTGAAGAGGGAAGGCATGCCATGCTAATTCCTTTTAAAAAAGAAACTCTACTGAGTAACTTCTGTACTTGCTTAGGTTTTTTTTTTTTTTTTTTTTGTAACCTTCAAAAATGCATTCCGCTCCAAACTTTGCTTCCAGTTGCCCTTCTGCGGAGGGCTGTCTGGGATCTCCCCAGGGCTGGAGGCTGGGGGGCGGCACAGGAAGTGGGAGAGGGTCAGCTGAGAAGGCTTAGCCTGACCACAAGATGTTGGTGCTGGTAACAGCACCCACGTGAAAGCATGTGCTGCTGGGGAGAACCTTGTACATTTTCTTTTTAATAGCAGCGTTGTTGTTTTCTTTTTAAGAGTTTATTTATTTATTTTTAGAGAGCGGGGAAGGGAGGGAGAAAGAGAGGGGGAGAAACATCGCTGTGTGAGAGAAACGGTGATGCCACCAAGGATCAGTTGCCTCTCCCACGGCCCAGCCAGGGGCCTGGCTCACAACCTAGGTACATGCCCTGGTGGGGAATGGAACCCACGACCTTTCGGTTTGCAGGGACCAAGGGCAGCCCACTGAGCCACACCAGTCAGGATGACCCTTGTACATTTCCCATTTCACAAGATACTGAGGATGGACCTCTTTGGGGGCCTAAGGACAAACTTTTGGAGCAGGCCCTGAATGACTCTCCATTTGGGCAAGGTGTGCCTTCATGCACAACTCCTGCTGGTTGTTGTGGGTGGGGGGGGCATTCTCCCCCATGAAATCCAGCAGATTCTGGGCTGCAATGAATGGGTCCTGATGCCTTTGTCCCCTCAGAGAAGAGGGAGAGGGAAAAAATCCTCCAGAAGAATTGAAAAAATGCTACTCTAGGGCCTCTCAAAAAGAAACCAAAGAATGTCATAAGTAATAGCTTGTCTTTATTATTTAACCCAATGGCCTTTACTTTAAATGAGAAAGTTTACATTACAGGAATGTATTGAGTACTTAATATGTATATCTTTTCCTGGCCCAAGGAAGTAGTTCATTCAAGGTTTGTCAGTTACACATTAGCATGTTTCCAGGGAAGACTGTTTTTAACAATGCAGATTTAATTTTTACATTTGACAGGAAATGAAATATTCTGTGCCTCCTTCTTGGCCTGATTTAGTAATAAGCTGCTTTATAGCAAAATCTATGTGTGCGATCTTTCCAAATGCCTACTGTAAACTCTTACGTGATCATAGTGACAAGTACATTAGGGTTCCTTTATTCCCAGTGTCCCATGAAATGTCTGACTACCAGCAGGGAGTTTGCAGCAGGTTAGATGGGCAGCCAGCCATGGAGCGACTTCTGAACCAGGAGTGAGCTTTCCTGCTCTCTCATGGCCAAAGGTCACGCATTTATTCTCTCTGGATTCCCTGAAGCTGAAAATAAAACTTGCTTATGTGGAGAGAAAAATGGAATTGTAAATTCAAGCAGTGAAGAACCAAGAGTTCTTCAAGAATGAAGCAATGGTCATAGATCAGGTGAAGGGCTCCCCTCTGGGCAAGCACTGAGCTGTGTGGTACCTGTGCCGCTGGCCCCGGGGTCCTTACAACCACCTCCTGGATCTCCTGCGCATTTAGGGGATGGGAAGACCGGAGCTTGGAGAGGTGGAATGACTTGACCAGGGCAACAGGACCAAAAAGCAGAAGAACCAGAAATTGTGCTCAGGAGCCGGATTCCAGCATCCAAATTCGGAGCAGCCTGCTCCCTCACGTTCCTGCCTCCTGGCTTCTTTTCTCTGTATTTTGGCCTCAAACTACCCTTTCCAGCCAGAGATCCCTGAACCTTACATTCCAAAGTGTTAGGGATTTAACCTGTGACCAAGACTGGATCCTCCCACCCCTGCTGTTTCCCCTCCCTTCTGGGCATAATGAACAGTTGGATGCAGGGATGCGCAGGAGAGAAGGCGAGAGAGAAGATTCAACAGGAACCCAAGCTCCGCAGGCCCTCCCCTGCCATGGGAAAACCAACTGTTGGGTTTGTGCTGGTTCCCTGAGTGCTTTAATCAAGAACTGAGGGTCCTTTGTTCTGCCTGACCCTCTTCAAGGCATCGCAGGCATGTGCCCGAAGCCTGGGTAAGAGCAGGACCCTGTTGGCAGGGCAGTGAGGCGGGTGTTTGGCACCATCATCTGACTTCTAACGGGAGAGAACCAGCATCTGCTTGAACCGTGCAATTTGGTCTTATTAATAATAATATTGGTGTTCTAAAGTGATTATAATTACAGCAATTTCCATGATAAAAAAAAAGGACTTTCATGTTAACACAATAAATCCAACAGAAGATGCTAAAGGTCTCCAGCTACATGCCTTGTAATGGCTTCAGAAAGGCGGCTGGGGTTTCTGTTGAAAGATTTTCTGTCACCTGCATGAATGCAGATAAAACAGCAAAGTAATTTTCATAGTTAAACATTTGAATACAAAAAAAATAAATAATTTAGGGGGCTCGCGTTTTCATCATGGTGCATTGGCTTGACCATCACTTCGTACACAACTTGGGGGGAAGAATTTGGACTGAAAATATGAACTCCAGTGTAGGAGTTTGTCTGTTGTGGTTCAAGCCATCTTCCAGTGTCCCCAAATTACATGATGCTTATGGCCAGCGAGGCTGAAAAAAGGGGGGCAATGGGGGCAAGAAGAGATTTGATAGAACAAACCGAGAAAGCAAACAATGAAGGAAAAGATTACTGGGTTAAAAGACCCAGAAAGTCAAAACTAGTTCTCACCAGCTTCAGTGAGTGAAAGGTGGCAGCTTCTGAGCTGGAGAGAAAGGATTCGGCATCAAAGGCGCCATTCGGAAGGACTGCAAAAGGCCAGCCCGAGACATCCGCTCAAATCAGCTTGGAGGGACAGAGTCTGAGAAACCATTAACAGCCGTAATATTAATAGCTAAACCTTTCATTCAGGCATATTACGCATTGGGCACCATGCTAAGTGTTCTGCATAGATCACCTCATTTAATCCTGGCAGTAGCCCTTGAAGTATGCACGATTATTTGACTTCATTTTCAGCTGGGGAAACTATGACTCAGGGAGGCCAAGCAATTTGTCCAAGGCCACACCAGCGAGCGGCAGAGCTGGGAGAGCAACCGGGCCTGCCCCGTGAGCACCGCGCCACAGTGCCTGCCCTGCATGTGGGCTCCCTTACATATCCGCCTCCATTAGCTGTGAATGCCGTGCGGGGAGTGGGAAGCGGCCGGGACTGGTTGCAGGGGCCTGGACACGGGTAGCATCGCTCCAGGACCGAGGGCAGGTGTGCAGCCTCCCTGTGCTCTCCCTTCCTGCCCCGTTAGTGTTCTTGGAGTTTTTCTTTTCCTGCAGCTGCTGTAAGACATGACCACAGACGAGGTGACTTAAAACAACAGAAATGTATTCTCTCACAGTTCTGGAGGCCAGATGTTCAAAACTGGGGTGTGGTCAGGGCCCTGCCCCCCCCCGCCCAGGGCTCCCAGGGAGGGTCTGTCCTGCCTCTCCCAGCTCCAGGGCTGCCCCCAGGGCCTGGCTTTCCTTGGCTCTTAGCCCTCACTCCAATCTCTGCCTCCATCGTCACGTGACTGACTCTCCCTGCCGTGTGTCTCAGTCCCTGAATGGGGGGCCGCCTGATCCAATGTGGCCTCCTTTTAGCTTGATGACATCTATAAAGACAGTTACCGGGGTTTAGGACTTCGATGTGTCTTTTTTTGAGGGAAGGGTACACATTTAATGCACAAATGTGCTCTAAGTTTACTCTGTGTATTTTTCTTTTCATTCTTGCCCATCTTTTAATTGCCAATAACTGTGATTTGGAACTCATATGTCATTTTCATTGAAAGCAGTAGCAAATGGTGGTTGTGGCACTGTATTCACAAGGAGCCTGTAACAAAAGCCTACCCCGGGGGGGTACAGGTGAGTGGCAGGATGAAGAGGGATTTTTTTTTAGATTCTTTTTCTGTATTTCTGTGTTGGT